TCTTAGCATCAAAGGAGTCAATTAGTAGACCTTGTGGCCTCACCTAATTTTACCTTTCCTTTAGTTTGCTGGAAGAATATTTTTATGCTATTAATATCGATGATGTTCTATATATTGTAATTGTTATAGAGTTCTTGACAGTGCTAACAGCATTATTAGATATCAGGAAATATTTTAAAAATTCAAGGTAAGGAGTAAACAGGTGAGACTGTAGGACTTGTAATTGGCTTGTTGACTTAATACTTGTGGAGCCATCTGTGTGTAAAAATAAACTAAATTCACAGTGGGCATGGCATACATGTACATGCCATCCCCGGTGGCTTCAGGTTAACCCTGAACACTAGAAGTTTAATAAAGATGAAACTACATTACCTGTATATTGCCAGTATTTTAAGTTATACAGTGTTTTTATTCCTTCTACTTTACAAACCAAGGAAATGGAGTCGGCTTTCAAATCCCAACTAGCGCATGAGTTTGAGAGGGTGCTTATTTATGAGAGCCCAGCATTGCAAGAAAAAGCCCGTCAAGTTCTGCCCATACAAGAGATGCATGAACTGGCCCGAAAGAATTTATCAACAGTTAACAGCGCTGTTGGCAAAGGTGAAAAGCCTTTGGATTTTCAGGTATATTGTTTACTACAGTTTGTACTGTTTTTTATATCTAATATAATTTGATACTAGAAATCCACATTATGGGTACTAATCAGTACTACTATGTACAACATTAACCCATAATAATTGTATATTCTCTTTTGTGCTTCATGTGCACACTGAAGCATGGAAGCTGAAAAACGTTGCTGCTAGTACCAGTTATATAAGAGTGAAAATAAGAAAACTGATAGAACCTTTGTAAATAAAATTTATATAAAGCAATAAACCACATTTACAATTATCATTTGCATGTACAAGTCTTAAGACAATAAGCTGGAAGAAGGTGACAGCACAATACATGATGTTCTATTTAGTGGAGGGGAAAGATCAGGAATAAACTTGATGAGGTATGCCATACAGTGATCTCATGCTAGGTGACACCAGAGGAAACTTGTCAACAATACTAGATATATTAGTTGACTCAACATGCATCTTATTTAGTAAAAAAGACAGTAAAATACCCCATGAAAGAACAGTTGTCATGCAAAAAAAAAAGATGTAAACAATTGTGGCAGTAGGAATTGAGTGATAGAGGTGTAGTGAAAGCTCATAGCCAAGTCCTGACTGTAAACCCGGTATTTACCTCATCCATGTTACAGATTGATTATTGAACTGAAATCTTTTGACACTATATCCAGGTCAGCTGTTTCTGTCTTTTCCCTCCTTGCTACTTTTTCTGGGATCTGTTTATTCAGTACTTTGAATTATATTAATTTTTCAGTCATATGTTCATATGTTCTCAAGTTATTCCTCAAATATATAATCAAACTTATTTAATAGTTCTCAATCTATTAACAGAGGCTTTAGATTCTAAAATTGTGTATTAAATTAGTGTAGTGTTATATGCATTTTCTGATCACTTATGTTCACCTTGCATGTTGGATCTGGGTACCTTATGCACCGAAATCTGAGCATTAAGCTTAATTGAGTGGCGACTATTGTGGGTGTATATTTATTATTAAACTGTAACAGATTGTTTTTGTTGAACAGACTCCATATTATCTACCCAGGTAGCCTAAAACTTTGAACAATAGCAATAACAGAAAGTAACAATTCCCCCCCCCCCACACACACACAATATTCAGTTTTCATTAAACCCAGTAACGATGTACAAGGCAGGCAGAAATAGGTTCCTACACATGGAAGTAGTGTCCTCCCAGGCATGGCTCTTAGATGATACATTCTATCCTTGTTTACTAGTGGAAATAGTGCAAGAGCTCCTTCTTAAAGGCCCACCGAGTCTAATCTCCCTCCAAGAGCTTTGTGCGCTCACATCAAGATGACCCATTCCTTTCACCCTAGCTGTCTGCCAGATGTTTCCATAACACAGTCCCATCACCCACCACACAACCAGATTTTTTCATGACAATATACTACTGTCAACTAGATTCAACAGGTTAACCCAAGCATGAAGGAAGCCCCCAGTGCCATAACTAATTACTATGCCCTCTATGCTGTTGGCTGTGACATAAATAATATTTAGGAAATGATACTAGATACAACTTGTAAGCCTACTTTTCAGGAGTTATTTTTCCTTATTGAAATCTTCATGGGAAAACAAATGCACAATTGTTTTTTTATGCACAACTTTGTATAAGTTAACCATAGTGTGAATGGGTAATGTGAGGTGTCTGTTATTCCTGCACATTTTCCACTAACTATGACCACTATCTCTCGACCTAAATCAGTATGATCTACCACTGTAGCTGAAACTATTAGACATGAGTTCCAGCATATTTATCAAGCAGTCAGTATGTCTAGTGAGACCAATTGTTACTTACTCATTTCACCATATTTCTTTGGTTGGTATAACATAAGATTATCAATCTGCAATAAGGCAAAATATTGACAAGAATACAAATAGATTACAGGATGAAAAGAAAATTTTCTTTACATTCATGGTTTGATTCAGATTTTCGTGTCATGAATACTCGATGTCTGTTGTTAAAAATGTCTATCTTTTGCTTAATTCCTTTTATTTGCTTGAATATATATAATTTGGTACTCTGTTTTGAGGAATCCGTTTGCTTTAAAAAAAAGTTTGTCTCTGTGAAAGAGTTGCCATTTTGTTAGGATTTCCATGCTTATATTGGAGATTCATTAAACATTAACTAGGCAAGGTATGAATGAGAATGAATATCTTCACAATACAAATGATGTATTTAACCTGTTTCCAATATATCTTCATCAGAAATACATACATCAGAGAAAGTACACAGCATATATATATGTATCTGATGTGAGCTGATGAATCAGCTGACTACTGTAATCTCCCACTTGTTACCTGCATAATTGCTGCCACAACCTTCGACAATTTGAAGGTGCCCAATGTGGTGTTTAGATTCTCCTCTGTCTCCAGTTTAGTAGATGTCCAACTTCATCTAATTGAACCACGACAGTATTAGAAGTCCTGTGGTGATGGATGCATGCTTGATGTTCGCTGATCCTGGTGTTGAAACTGTGTCCCAATTCACCAGAGTATGCCTTATCACATCTGCTGTAGAATATGCGATAAAAGGCACTGTTGGGGTTGTTTTCTAGCTGCTATCTGTCTCATATTATGTCATGTATCTTTTCATCAGATTTGCTGGTGATTTTCACTGTACTGCCAAAGTATTTGCTGATCACCTGGGAAATATTACATGGCTGTATTATGAGAAAATTAGAAGAGGTGTGCAGAGTTTGATCTAGTATCTATGTTCTCCACCTTCTTTCAGAGGTTTAGCAGGAAGCCTTTGGGATATTTGTTTCATAAAAGAATTAATTACTTAGGTAATCTCAGTCTCAAGAAATTCAGGGCTCCTGATCATCAGTGCCCTGAGGAAGAAGCCAATTTCAACCCCAGATTATGTTTTATTGCTGTGGGCAGAATAGTAGTGAATAAAATTGTTTTTATTATTAGGCTTTCTGTACACAGAGAAATGCCATCACCCCAATGGATCAGGATGTCCAGGAAAGGTAACTTCTGATCCTCTTCTTCCTCCATGGTGAACTAGAATTCTAGATTTTCTTGTGGGCAGGGTTAAGCTATATCAGTGTATGATGACGAGGACATCATCTAGAATGTCTGCCGATTATATCCCTGTAGTGGTCCCTCTCTAGCATCTCCATGAAGAGGCAGGCCAGGACTGCACACTCAGAGGGGAGCCCATCGCAAGTTGCCAAAGTTTACACTAAAATTCATGAGGCTTAAAGAGGTGTTTAGGTAGCAGAAGTACATTGTCTACCCTGTAGCTGGTGACCCTCTCAACTGCTCAGATTGCTCTGTCTGTGAATTTATTCATAAAGAGGGATTTCAAATCAAAACAAGCCAGCTTTTTATTTTTTCACCCGGAACTTTGAAGTCATCTGGTGTGGTCTCCAGAACTCTTGAGGTGAGAATCACTGATGTCTCCTATAGTGCACCGGAGAGGGGTTTCGTCAAATGCGTAGTCAAACAGTGGTGAGCACTGCCAGTAGCAGAAGTGAGCAGTCTCTTCAGTACACCTGGCTTGTGCACCAACCTCTCATGTTCGGGTAGCAGGAGGCCTTTTTCAGCAGGTGAAGTAAGCGTTTCCCTCGAATTAACTGCAGGAGTAAATCCCTTGCCTTCTTCTTGCACCTGGCAGCTTCCATCTTCCCCTCACCTCTTGTTACTTTCCTGTAAACAGAAAGTATATCAGTCATTTTATGTATGTAATCACTTTTTTCCATAACTATAATACCCATACATTTATCACCCTGGGTGATGACAATGGTCTTATCGTCGCAGAGGCCCTTCAAAGCGGTGGTATATCTACGTGAAATCATCGCCAGGGGGCACGATAACACATCAGCCACACAGTAAGCAATAATCTCTGGGACCCTTTGTCAAAGTCACTATCGGTCTATCGATGGTTCAAGATTACGTAGTCAGTTAATTCCTTGCCGTTTTACCTTGTGCTGAATTTGAGTGTTATGCACTCATCAGTGCCCTGCGCCTTACTATTGATATTGAGATTGAGTTCAAGGAAGAGAGTTTCTTTTTCTATAAGAGTTGGGCACTTGGAAGAGATGTTTCTAAGAAGATTATTTTGCCCAGCTTTTGACCATCTTCTCTAGCTGCTTATATTGTGTAATTTTGCCTTGTGTTGGACTCATTGAGCTTAATCTACCTGTTGTAGTTGGAAGACCAGCCCATGGAGAAGTATTTGCCCTTGAGTTTGTTCTGGAGATTGTATAGTCGATGTTGCAGGGTCCTAATGGCCTCCACAAGGAAGTCCCAGGCACTATAAGGGAATGGATGTGTATGTGGATTTAAACTAGCTCGAGTTGAAGATGGCAACACTTGCTTAGCCAAGCATTCCCAGGGAATAGCAACACACTTGCTATGCATGCTGTGAGAAGGATGAATCATATTCATGTTGACGAATGTAGAAAAGGTATGAATGTGAATGAATATCTTCACAATGAATGAATGTTGGAGCCCACTACCAACTCACTCCTTTCACTCTACAATTTAACCTTAACAACCAGTTGTAACTTTTCCTTCATATCTATAATATACCAAATGTTCACTATACAAGCTTAAATAACTGTCCTGATGAATAATAGTGGTATGCTATTAGAATTATCTTAATGATTTATATCTTTGTTGCCCCAGGACTGTGTGTTGGTGGAACTTCTGAAATGGTTTAAAAATGATTTCTTCAGTTGGTTTGATGCCCCTAGTTGTCCACAGTGTCAGTCAAACATGAAGGCTACAGGATCATTGCCACCCACAGATGAAGACCTTAAATGGAATGGCAATCGCGTTGAAGGTTATTCATGTCAGGTAAGTGGTTGACTCTTTTCTTGATGTATTAAAGTTGATGGTCTACAACAGGGTTTCCCATACTATTGACCACAGGGTTTGGAGCACCATGAAGATTTTGACATAAAATTGAACTGAATTTAACTTACCTACAGTACCTACATATGATTATCTCCCACATGGACCGAAAAACAGATGGCATCATATCATACCCATTGCCGCACCATTGGCTCATCATACGGAGTTTGCATTTCTCTGATTTTAGTGGCTACATTTATTTGGTAAAATTTTTTGGCAATAGCATCTATAATGAAGGTAAACTTTCAAAATTATAATATTTTTATTAATTATAGAAAAATATCAGCTTTTAGGTGTCAAATGTCGCTCAAAAACTACCGAATTAGCCAGGCGCAAACGGGGGCCTGCTGATGCGCACCAACAATCCCATTATTATGTCCACTTGCCAAACTTTTATACCCGTTAGCATTGGGTTAAAATTAACATTGGCATAAAAATTTTACTTGCCGTTAGTGCGTGTATGGAGCGACACTCCCACACCCCAAAAAAATAAACATTGCCACGCATCCTGTCAGTGTGACGCTGTATCTTGGCTCGCACTCCGACGCAGCAGCAGGCTGCATTCGGCAGGAGGACAGACAACAGGGAAGCTCTGCCTGCTGATTTTTTAGCCGCCCGGAATATTTTATTTTTGGCTTCAAAATATACTGGCGTAAATGGGTTAAAGAAAATATCCATTTGTAAGTTATTTGAAAAGTGTATTTTATATTTGAAAAGAACCAAGTTAATGTATGAAGGGGATCCCAAAGTGAAGATCAAGTAAAAACTAAGGAAAATTTTCAGAAAACAGTCATTCCACAATTTATTTCCAGAGAGTATATCCTAATCCTAAAGTAGTTATAAGAAATGGCTGTTTCTACTTTGTACTGGTTTATCTCATTGGGGACTGTTTGTGTGGGTGTGAGTGCCCACTACAATGGCTTGGCAGTCAGCGGAAGACATAGCTGTCCTACATTGTGGCTGGTCAGTGGTGTTTTTTGGAGTTTCCCACCAAATTTCTAGATCCTGGACTTTAACCCATTCACCCCGGGTAAAAAAGTTTGGACAAAATCACAGGATTGTTGGCGCGCATCGGCAGTTTCCCCTGTTTGTACCCAGCTTGTTCAGGAGTTTGCGAGCAACATTCGGCACCTAAAAGCTTTCATTTTGTATAAATTTTAATAATATATAAAATTTGAAGGTTTACCTTCACTTAAGGTACTATTACCTAAAAGCTTTACCATATAAATGAAGCTGCTACTATCAGAGAAAAACAAACTCCGTTCAATGAGCCAATGGCATGTGAATGGTCATGATGCAATGCCATTCAGTTTTCTGACCACAATAGCCATGGCACGTACATACTTTCCACCCGGTGGCAAGGGGTTAAGTAGGCTGGGAGCTGTGTCAGGAATTCGGGAACTTAAGAGTCTGTTTGAGCCATCTAATAAAAGAGCCACGAACTGTCAACCAATCAGAATTCGGACAAGGTTGTTAGATGGGCAGACTTAGGTAGTATGCACAGTGTGAGTTGCATGCAGGTTAAGTGGTCATGACTACTACATGCTTGATGCCAAAATCTGGTCATCTACCTTGGAGTCTGTTTAGTTCTCTAGATTAGTAAACAATGTGTTTAGAAAATTTGATTATATTTCATTTGTATAGAATCATGACTAGGTTCCTTTTCATTTATTCCTGATGCTTATAGCCTCAGACTTGATGCTCTTTTAAAAAATGTAATCATGCTTTGGATTAAGCCATTGAGGGCACATGCCCTGTCCACTGTGATTTTAGTTTATTCATTGTGTTTACACAAACAAATAGATTTTGTACACTTTATACCAATAAGAAAGTATATGAATTACTACCATTATGGTTATACTAAACTGTAGTGCAAAAAGGAGAGAGTCAGGTACTGGGAATCAGACTATGACAACAACTACAGCACTGCCCCAGCATAGCAAAAAGATGCCCAAACTGCCAACAGTTCTCAATACAGAAAGGCTGTCAAAGCCTCCCTGGAAAAGAAGAGTGGGAGAAAGCCCTCCATAGTTCAGGTACAGGAGGACAACTGCAATACAAAAGAAAATTATGGCAGTTCTTGCAAGGCTGTAAAGCATATTAACAACCTATCTGTTGTTAAACAGGTGACTTTGCATTTTGAAATCAGATCCCAGTCATCCCAGCACTCAACAAACCTGATCATATTTCCAACACAACCCAGGAATCTTTGAAACATGTAAATGGGGAAAGATTCAAACAAAATAAACCCATAACTAATCTCAAGGGGAAGCACATAAACATCTTAAACATCCATCCTGACCGTAATGCACAGGCATATAAATCACAAGACTGGCCAACATTTGCAAAACAACATATATCTCACATAAAAAAAAAACATCTGGTGACGATAGCGAAGGGCTTGGTATACATGACTAAAGAGAAATCTGTGCTTAAGAGACTCTGGGGTATAACCAAACACATTTTCCTTTTATATTGGGTATGGGAATGCTGGCTAACAGTAGCATGGAGATTCTGGCACAGGGGCTGGGGGGGGGGGGGGAATAGAAGTGATTAGTAGAGAGCATAAGGTATGAAAAAGGCTTAGCATCTGTTGATATGTATCAGATTATGCTCTAGGCACCATAAGGGTTAATTCTGTTCATTGTTTGGAGGATAAAACTTTTGCTCTATTCTGCTACAGTTACGTTTTTCACCCAGCAGAGAGTTTGATGTTGGGAGAATGAGAAAATAGATGCTATTGCAGTCTGTATTTGCAAAGAAATCAACCATTTAACAGCTTGCTGCTAATCATTTTTCAAATATTATAATATTGCCATTGATTATTGTCTTTGTTATTGTCAGTATTTATTTATTTTATTTTATTATTTATTTTTTATTGTTATTATTATTATCATCTTAACTTTGCAGGCATGTGATACAACTGATCGCTTTGTGCGATACAATCATCCAGCCAAACTTTTAGAGACCAGACAAGGACGATGTGGAGAGTGGGCCAACTGTTTCACTTTATTCTGTCGTACATTAGGAATGGATGCAAGGTAAAAAAAAGTTCCTTTAAATAATTTACTTATGAGGAATTGCAAAATTATCCTCCAAGGAATACAAATATAGAAAAAGAAATAGATATATGGATGCATATAGACAAATATGTTTGTGTGTTAATGTGAGAGAGGGAGAGAGATGGAGACAGAGACAGGGGGGGGAGATGAAGAGAGATGGGGCAGAGAGAGAGGGAGAGAGGAAGAGAGAGGGGGAGAGAGACAGAGAGAGGGGTAGAGAGACAGAGAGAGGGAGAGAGGGAAAGAGAGGGGAGGGGAGAGAAAAAGAGAGGGAGAGAGACAGAGAGAGGGACAGGGATACAGAGATAGGGGGTGGGGATGGAGATGGAGAGGGAGGTGGAGATGGGAGGGAGAGGGAGAGGGAGAGGGAGATGGAGAGGGAAGGGAGATGGAGATGGAGAGAAGAGATGGAGAGAGAGAGAGAGAAGAGAGAGAAGAGAGAGAGAGAGAGAGAGAGAGAGAGAGAATGGAGAGAGAGAGAGAGAGAGAGAGATAGAGAGAGAGAGAGAGAGAGAGAGAGAGAGAGAGAGAGAGAGAGAGAGAGAGAGAAGGATGGAGAGGAGAGAAGAGAGAGAGAGGATGGATGAGAGAGAGAGAGACGAGAAGAGCAACCCCACAAACCGCGCAAGAGAAGATGTAGGAAACCGACGACCGATAAGAACACCCACCATAGGAAAGGCGCAGGAATGAATAAGGAGATCAGCACAATCGGATGAATATAACGTCAAAAAGAAGAGCCAGCACAAGAGATCCTGGAAAAAGAAAGACGAAAGCAGCACGAAAGAAGAAGGAGAGAGGAGAAAGAGAAGAGAGAGAAAAGAAATCGAAAGAGAACGAGCTATAATAAAAAAAGAGTGAGCGAAACGAGGAGAGAAGAAGAAAGAAAGAAAGAAGAAAGAAAGAAGATAGGAAGAAAGAAGAAACAGAAGAAGAATGCGATAGGCCAAAGCAAGAAGGAAGAAGGAAAGAAGAGGAGAGAAGAAAAAAAATCGAACCACAAAAGAAGAAGAGAAGAGAGAAGAGAAGAAAGAAAAAAAATCGAAGCCTAAAAAAGAAATATCGAAAGAAATACCCGAGAAGAAAAACAAAAAAAAAGGGAAAAGGAATAAAGGAAAGAAGGGGAGAGCGAAGAAGAGAAGAAAGAGAGGAAAAAGAAAAATAATGCGGAAGCCGCAGTAATAAAAAAAAAACATCGAACCACAAAAGGAAAGGAAGAGAAGAAGAAGAAGAAGAAGAGAAGAAAGAAGAAAAGAAAATTAATCGAACCAATAAAAAGATCACAAAAAGAGGAAGAAGAAGAAGAAGGAGAAGAAAAAGAAAAAATCGACTATAAGAACCCTAAACTACCAACAACACACCGAACACACCATACACAAACCCACAACCGCGCACCCACCCATAAACGCCCACTCATACAAGCGCGATATAAAGTTCACCATCAGGATGAATATAAACGTCAAAAAAAAGCCACAACAAGATCAGCTGAAAAGAAAAGAAAAACGAACCACAAACAGAAGGAGAAGAAGAAGAAGAAAAGAAGAAGAAGAAAAGAAGAGAGAAGAGAAGAAGAAGAAGAAGAAGAAGAAGAAAAGATAAAATCGAACCTATAAAAAAAATCGACCACAAAAGAAGAGAAGAAGAAGAAAGAAAGAAAATCCGAACCTAAAAAGAAGAGAAGAAGAAAAGAAGAAGAAGGAAGAAAAATCGAACCACAAAAGAAGAAGAAGAAGAAGAGAAGAAGAAGAAGAAATCGAGACCAACAAAGAAGAGAAGAGAGAAGAAGAAGAAGAAGAAGAAAAGCATCGAACCACAAAAAAGAAAGAAGACAAGAAGAAGAAGAAAAAGAAAATTATCGAACCTATAAAAAATCGAACCACAAAAGAAGAAGAAGAGAAGGAGAAGAAGAGAAAGAAAAAAAATCGAACCAAAATAGAAAGAAGAAGAAGAAAAGAAAATTCGGCCCTATAAGGAAAGCCCCTAACACTCCAACACAACACCCGAACACACACACATTCAAGCACAAACCACCACCGCGGCATCCCGCCCATAAACGCCCACACATAAGCGCGATATAGTCACATCGATGAGATATAAACGTCAAAAAAAGCCACAACAGATCCTGGAAAAAAAAAAAGAAAGAACACAACGAAACAAGAGAGGAAGAAGAAGAGAAGAAGAAGAAGAAGAAGAGGAGAAGAAAAGAGGAAGAAGAAGAAAGAATAATCGAACCTATATCAACCACAGAAGAACGAAGAAGGACAGAGAGAGAAGAAGAAAGAGAAGAAAGAGAAGAAGAAGAAAAATCGAACTAACAAAAAAAGAAAAGACAGGGCAACGAAGAGAGGAAAGAAAAAATCGAACGGCTATAAAATCGACCGACAAAAGAAAAGAAGAAGAAGAAGAAGAAGAAGAGAGAAAGAAGAAAAAAATCGAACTAACAAGAAGAAGAAGAAGAAGAGAAGAAGAAGAAAATCGACCTAAATAAAACGAA